TACACGAGGGATTTTTTTTTTTATCTGAAACTAGTGCAGTTTATTTTAGCTGATCTGGTGGGTTCATCCAGCTGTTGTCACCCATGAACACCTAATTGCGCTAGAACAAGTGTGTCAATGATACGCTAGTCTAATTTCTGTCTTCTTCCTCCATGGTGGAGGAATTTAAATTCGAGAGTAGAGTTTAAAATTGAAGGATGTATATTGAAACCAAGCATGAATATGAGAAGAGTTAGCATTGCAGGTCCAAGTTAAGTTTGTTGTTAGTGAGATTGAGATCTTCTGTGAGCAGCTGCTGGGGGGGTTTTGTGTGATCTTCAAGATCAGTAGAATTGTGCCAAAGGTTTGTATTTCAGTGGGTGCTTCCAAGGTGGGAATCACATAAGGATTAGAGAATAAAACATTTTCTTTTAAAACTGGAAAAGCTGCTGTATCAATTTTTTTGTTTCACATAAGTGCCTTTGAAAAAGCTTCAGAGATACAGGAAACATGGTATTTCTACTTATTACAGATTAGGACAGTTTAAAATGGCAATGCATAGTGAAACATTCTACTAAAGCTTTGTGCTTAGGGCTGGGTTTTGCTGAGGTTGTTTTATCTTCTTGGACTTTTTGAAGAAAGAATGATGCAAGATTTTGATTTAAAATTGTTCTACAGTTTTAGCCAATACTCTAGGTGGAGTTTATCCTTCTTGTTTTTTACTTTTGTCAAAAACAGTAACTGCTGCAGTTGATTTGTAAAGTGTGCGTTATCAGTTTTGACAAACTGACTTTTCTTCAGAAAATTGCTTTTGATTGAATAACCTCATCAGTAAAAGGTGGACCTGTACATCATAAGGTAGGCTTTAGAAATAAAAACTAGAGAAGAAATAAGATAAAATAGTATGATAGAGATGAAGAATGTTGGGCTTTCCTTCTTTTGATAGCAAATTTTCTGTAATACAGTGTTTAACTAATTGTGGGTTTCCTTAAACTGCTCTGTTACAACTTGGGGAATATTCTTCCTTCATTGTTGTCCTGTTTCCAGCCACATTCTCACTGTTTGTGTTTTATTTGGTGCCCTTGAAGTTTAAAAGTTGTTTTGCCTGCTCTATAGTACAAATATATACCTAACCCTTCCTTTTGGATGAAATATGCTGGCAGTTATGAAGTTTTTCAGTGAGGCAGTTTTATAATGTGCCCATTATCATGTATACTGTAAATGTTACAAATGTTTGTTGGAAGGCTAGATGCTTTAATTGTTCCAGCTTTCTTTTGCTATATTCTTCTTGATCTTTATGTTAGTCAGCAGTAATGGGCACAATTCTCATTCACAGTATATAAACCATTAATTTTTAATTAAGTCTAAATAAATACCTGGTTTAAAAAGCACAAAATAGGTAAAATACTCGCAGCTGTACTTTAATCATCCAGTATGACAAGTAAATGTCAGGAAGTAATTTCTGTATAAATCAGGTACCATGTCAAAAGGAACATGAATTATTGAATTATTTTCTAAGTGAATACAAAATGCACGGAAAACTCCCCGTTTAGGAGCCACATGAAGATGTTTTAAAGGAGGTGCTTTTATTTAGATTCTGCTTTCTAATACTTCCTTTGGAAGCTGGTAGGTTTTTTGTGTCAACTATGAAGGCAGTTCTGTAACATGTTAAATGCTTATAAATCAATACTTATGTGGTCGAATTTTATCCTTTTGTTTTCCTTGTTCCTGTATTTCCACTTTCTCCAGTGTGTTGGTCCTAATTCTTACCTGATTCCACAGTGAGCAGTTCTAGAGCTAAATCAGCTGAGGGGAGCCATGCACTTCTGAGGAGGAGGAAAGAAGGAAATGGAAGTGCTTTTACACAGCTTGGCAACCTCAGTCACCTCAGCATGTGGTCACCTTTAGTTGAACCCCACAGCCTTTATCACTTCAAAATAAGTGTCATACTATAAATCCATAGTCTTGTAGAGCCATATAAAATGGATTTTAATAAAATACTAATTTTAAAATACTGATTTAAGGAATTGGAAATTTACAACACCACACAAACAGCTTAAATTTTAGTTTCAGACATCTGTGCTTAAGACAATTATATTAATTTATTGGACTGATATGTTTATATTTCATTTCTTTGTTGTCTTTAAATTCAACTGAGCACTGAATGTAAAAAACTGTATAAACTTTTAGAAAAATTAAAAAAAAAAAAACAACCGACCAACCAAACAAAAAAAAAACAGGCATGTAGTTATAGGATGGATATCTCTGAAGAACTTCTGGAGGTAGATTACAGCAATAATTTGAGATCTAGGTGAGTTTAAAAATGGCTCCTCATATTCCTCATCTTCAGAATTCTTCTTGCCTAAATTTATATTAAAAATAAATTTTTTTCTTAAAATTTGCTATAAATTTCCAACAGATTTTTCTCTAGTCTTACAAATTTATTTTTTAACTATTGGATTCTTTTATGTTGCACAGAATTGAAGAGAAAATACAACTGAAAGTATGAGCCTATAATAAGTTACATAAATGGAACTGTAGATTCTGGTCGAAGGAATTGGGGAAACTGTATGCTTCTAATATGAAATATGTGTCATTATTTTCAGTGGCAGGGGCAAAGGTATGTTGTTGGATGCATATTTGCCTTCTATTCATTGTTTGACTGTGCTGAGTTAATCAAGTCTTACTCTTAAACTTGTAATTTATGTAGAACACTTGTATCTGTAAGGTGGTGGCCTCGTATCTAATTATGTGCAAGTTCCATCCTTACTGCCCTATAGTTTCATTATTCTTCAAAGCTATGTAGGTAGGTTTTGTCAATATACTGCAATATTACTGAATATTAATTACAGAGACTATCGAACTGAGTTATCAGCATAACAAGATGAATGTTTGCAATTTAAGTAGAATCAAACATTTTATATTCTCCTCTGCTCCATAGCATAATTTAAAATGAGAACACCCTTGTCTTTGTCCCAGAGCAAGAAAAGAGTTGGTATTTGAAGGTTCTTTGTCCTCATGCGTTATTGAAAATCTTCTAAAATTACTTCAGACTGAAACTTCTGTGGAAATGTGATTGAAAGATTAGGACTTGATTTAGATTTTATATTCACGAAACACATCTCTGCAACTTAATTCTGTTCTAGCAAACACTTCAATGTTTCCATAGTTTATAATGTGCAAATTAAACAGTTTCTCCCGTTTTAAGTTTAGAAAAAGCCTGCAGTCTAAATAGTATTTTATTCTAGTTAATGTAAGCAAAACTTAGAGTAATGTTTTAAATGTTGTTCTTGAATAATGCAGAAGGAAAACAAGCAGCTTCAAAAGTTGGAGCTGATTTCAGACTGACCAAATTCTATAGTTGCTCTGTTCAGTGGTAATTTCCTTTCTCATCCCTTCAGATGGGAATTTACCGGATTTCTATCACCTAGGCTACTCAGCATCCTAAATTGTCTACCCTTGACAGCAGAGCTGCTGTGATGATTTGGGAGGAGTTTAGTGGTGAGGTTAAAATAATTCATGAGGCAGATGGAATGTAGGAAGCCACTAAAGGTGACTGTTTGGATTTATCACTTAAAGATATTTGCAGAAGTCTGTTTTTTTCATCATTCATCTTTCCCCTTATAACCCTACTTTCCATCTCCCGACTTCCTTATGTAATAAGGGAGGGACCTAGAAAACTTCAGCTATGCACAGATATAGATAGATAGATATACACTAAAAGGAGGTTCAGCTTCATAGAAATACAATTTGGCAGGCTGAGAAAGCTTTTTTTTTTTTTTTTTTTTTTTTTTTTTTTTTTTATAGTACGGGTAAAGTATGTCAGAACGTTTAGGCTATGGTCAGTAATATATTGTGAAATGAATAAGGGATTCAGTGACTTTGGCAGATGATCTAGGTTTTGCATATTAACTAAGGAGATTTCATCAAGCAACTTTACAAAATCCACTTAAACTATTAATACCAAGCTTGTCAGAACTGTATGGGCTAAGGGACAATTGGAAAAGATTAATTTTTTTTTTATCAGTATGAGCTTTGCTTTCATAGCCTGGAAAAGCAGATTCCCTGAAATTTTCCTGAGCTGGGGCATACCATCTCTCTAGCATGCCAAGTCTGGCTGCAGTTGGGACTTGCTGCAGTAGTCATTAATGGAGCAATTCTAGCTGCTGTTTTTTGTCTACTTATATTCAACCTCTTCTCTGTTCCTCCTTCTCAGCCCAAACAAGGTGACTGGGGCTGGTCTCTCCTAGTAGGCATATGCTAGGTGGGGCTGCAAGGTTAAAATGTGAATGTAGGGATTTCTCCTGGTGTAGATAACGAGCAGTAAATTGATTGCTCCCCCCCCCCCCCCATTATATGCTCTGTCTGTCAGGATTCTAGATGCAAATAGACATTGCTTGTTTAACCATTAAAAGGTCATTATTCTAATAAAGGTGTTGTAAATACATGGATTAAAGACACTTGAACAACACTTCTGAAAACCTGTAAATTACTTAATTTGCCTAATTCTGTAAACTGGGAATTATTAGCTATTGTGTTTGTTAACTTTCCAGTGTTGTTCTTGTAACTTCTGTTATAGGTGAACATATTATATGTGAACTCATAACTCTTCCTAAAGTCTTGCTGTGACAGCACGAGAGTTTAAAACCAGTTCAGAAAATTATATGTTTATGTAGTAGACTTGTGATTGTGGATTTTTACTAAAGGTAATTTTCCTCCCAACTAAACATAGGGGTTGGGTAAATTACTAAGCACTTGTTCTCCTAAATATATCACATTATCATCAGAAATAAAATATAAAACTTTCTCTGCATTATGGGTCAAGATTAAAAAACATCAACAAAGGCAATCTTCAAACTGAAGACCCAGATTACGTTATTACGGTAAGGATTTTGAATAGGTCTATTTTCTTGCATGTAATTTTTCACAATTAAAAAAATATTCATGGCTAATTATCTCTTGCAAACAGTGTTTCTGATTTTGCCAATATAAAGCTGACAGTTGTCTTTTCTCTTTGACAGATGGGGATGGACAAAGTGAACATTTATTGCCAGTCTGTGAAGATACAAAATGTCAAAAAAGTGCCATCTACTTAAATAAGCGAGGATTGGATCAGGTATTGTGAGTTTGGAATTGCAAAGACCAAGGAAAATACTGTGCTTTATGAAATAATATGAAACAGAAAAAATCTTTTCTGGGAAAAGAAAATGAAACTTATTCACCTGTAATATGCATATAAGAGTCCTTTATGTATTTACTTATTTATTACCTATTTTAAAAAATATGGGCTTGGTGGAGGAGGTGGTATATCTAGAATTCTATATAATGAGTAATTCTGCTCAAGAATATTATGAATGTCACTTCATTGATTGCAAAACACTGCATTCTGAGCACCATAACTTCCCTAGCACAAGAAAAACAAGGTTTGTGTTAAGAGTTGGAAATGGATCTAATTAATTTAAACAAGCTTAGGTACTTATAAAATAAATACACACACACACACACATATCAAGTTCAACCAGCCCACACCTCTTACCCCTTATTTCTACTGGTTTTGATTGTTAAGTAAATTCCAAATGGTATATGAAGACTTGGTTAGGCTATGTATCTTCAGGATTGGGTTTCTATTAAACTATTTCAGCTTTGTTTATTCATGACACTACTTGTTTTGAAAGATGTGATCATAATTCATATTATAGATTACTGTATGGTCATTTATTTTAAAGTGTGTACTAATCTGTTTTAAGTATTTACAGTGCCCTGCTTTATAATTAAGTTACAGCTTGCAATAAATTAACCTAATGTTTGTTTGATGCCTTAATAAATGTTCTTAATAAATACATATTTAGCAATGTGAACCTAAAGGCCAAGGTGACCTATAAAGTACTTGCTTATAGCTGACAGCAAAACCCACTGTAGCGTATTTAAAGAAATTTATAATGTATGCCATAAATGTTTCTAACCAGGTTATGAATTACTGATTATTCCTTTACTAAATTAGAAGTAGACCTTTTTTTCTGTGTACGTACCACGCTCTCTGATCTATATTTCAGAATTTCGTATGTGAACGTCCTGTTTGCTCAAGGAACAGTACATATGTTAAGGTGCTTGTTGTTACAGTTACAGTCTGCAGCCCAAGTTTATAATGTAGATTTCCTCATTTAAAGAATCAGAATTTCTAGAACACAGGCATAGCAAGAAAATCACTCCATATTGGAATGGAAACCACGCAGTTACCAGTCAGTTAAGGAAGTATAACTGGGATGAAATATACCATCAGTGTAAGAAAGAGTAAGTAACTCCAAATTTGGTAATGGACCGCTTTCAGCCTTCTAATCCTGGCATCTCTGTTCTTAGCAATGCGTGTTTTCCCCATGCACACTGTGCTGGGTTGTTTCTGGGTTGTGGATTTTTAACATTCATTCCTTGTGAACACAGACTAGAGACGATGGATTGTAGTGTTGCTGGATACCCGGTGTTACAGCAGAGTTTGATTTACAGGTCACAGCCTTTGTATAAAGCAAGTAGATGCTCAGTTCCCGATACCTCCATTGCTTTCTGGTCAGAGGGGAGGACATGGACTTTTCATAAGCACATAAGACTAATATTGCTGCAACAGCTGCTTACATTTCACTGTTGATTAGTTGGGAGTGTTCTTATGGCAAAAGACAACCGCTCTTTAGCTCTAAACATGGCTCCTTACTCTTGATAATGTAAGAAGTAAAAGCCACTTGAGTTTTTCAGCTCAGGTAAATTTGAGACAAATGTTCTCAACTTAAGTAATTTCACTCTGGAAAATCAACCACACACAAGTAGCATGTACCACTGAGAGATCGAGCTGTTAGCCGAGAGTGGCAGATGACTGGGGAGTGTGCTAAAGAAAGTTATATCATCTGTTGTTCGTGGTACATTTCTAGCAGGAGGCGATGCAGTAGTGGCAGAGGGGGGTGTGGGCCAATTTGCATAATAACATAATTTTTTTTGAGTGAAGTCTTTTATTGTAACCTGCTCTGAAGTAACATTTCACCCAGACAGTTTTTCTGTTCCTTCATTATTTCAGTTTTCTGATAGAGGTCAACTATTTAATTACAAATATATCAGATTTTTAACATACTTTTGATACTCATCAGTATATTTGTTTTTTATACTTAATTTAGCAATTTCATTGTGTAGTTCCAATTTTTAAATAATTTACAGTGTAATGACATTTGAGTTAAAATTTGGCAGCCAAATATTGTCACTTTATTTTAAAAACTGAAGAATCCAACAGGTTCTCATCCTGGTAGAAGAAAAAGTATTAAAAATTATTAAGACCTACCTAGAAACTTTAAAGCAATTTTCCCTGCATATTTTTAGAATTACTTTTTAATTAAAAATGACAGTATCGAATGACATATAATGACTTGTTCTGGCCAGCCTTTTTAAAGAACTATATCTAGAATACTCTTTTCTTGCACTGTTAGACTCACCTAGACATGATGGATCTCTTTTAAACCATTTTATCTTTTCCATTCTGAAACAGTAACTTCAGTCATATGTCTGCGGTTTTTCCCATGTGTTGCATATTTTCTACTGGTAGAAATCTATTCCAACATGTTACTTCCCATATTTATTTGGAAGTGAAATGTTTTAATTTCACTGAATTTTATTATTATGAGATCAGATGACCCAACATTTGAGCTTTGACTAAACGAGTGTCCTGGTTTGGGCTGAAATAGAGTTAATATTCCTTTTTGGGAACTAGAATAGTGCTGTGTTTTGGATTCAGCATTGGGTTTGGTATGAGAAGAATGCTGATAGCACTGATGTTTTCAGCTGCTACTGAGATTTCAAGGACTCTCCGACTCCCCATGTCCTGCCCGTGCACAAGGGCACGGGAAGCAGGGAGGCAGCACAGCCCAAGCACCAGACCCAAATTGACAATGAAATATTCCATATCATGGAACGTCATGCTCACTATATAGAGGAGGGATGGTCGGGAAGGGGCTCTCTCTCGCTTCCAGGATTGCGATTGTGGAATCTTGGTATCTCGGGGTCGCTGGCCGGGAACGGGCTGGGTACTGGTCAGCGGGTGGTGAGCAATTACATTGTGCATTGTCCGTTTATATTTTTTTTTCTATTATTGTCATTGTTCTTGTTTTATTACCATTATTCAACTGTTCTTATCTCAGCCTGCGAGTCTCCCTTTATGTCTCTAATTCCTTCCCCCATTCCCAGGTGGGGAAGGGGAAGGGTGGGTGACCGGCTGTGGTGGTTGGCTGCCAACCATGAAAATGAGTTAATCTTCATGAGAAATGATAAACATAAAATTCGTGGCAACAGACTCAGACCAATTATTTTTGTTTATTTAATCACTTTATAATTTGAGGGAAATACTAATGAGCCCTTGGAGTGCAGAATGTGTTTCAACAAGAGGGTGGTATCCCTTGTAGAACAGGTAGGTAATTATAGGGAATTTAGGGGAAACATAAATATTGCAAGTGTATTATTGAAAAAGTAGCAGATGTTATATATCCATTATCTCTGTTCCAGTTTTGCTGTCGGGTTTTGTGGGGTTTTCTGTAGTTAAGAGTGTAGTGAAGAATTCTGGTTTTCAGAATTCTGGTTTCTCATGCTGTCTTTGGCACAGCTGGATGGCTACTGAAAAGCCAAACAGATCTTAGGAGAATTATTTCAAGGATGTTCTTTCACCGTAGGTTTTAATTCATTTAATGATTTAATCTCTATAAGTATTAGAAATATCTCAGATAAATTTTCTTCTTTTGGGTTATGGAGCAAAAGTAAAGGCCAACAAAATATATATGAGTGACTTGAGGAGATACAGACCCACTGAAATTTTAAAAGAATGTGAATGTTTCCATAGCAACGGAAGAATTGCTGTCGGATCTGAAGTAGCATCCCATACGCTGTTTCAGGTTGTGGCAGGTGTTAGGATACCTCAGTTGTCTTTGAATTCACCTGCAGTAGCTACAGACTGCTCTGCTTACTGATTTAAAACTCTCATCTAGATTCTGAAAATTAGACTGAGTTCTCTCTGAAGAATGTTTCAAAATTCCTGGTACTGTTTATTGTAGAAACTCTAGAAGTTATGATATTCTTAGAGATGACTGATCTTTCTTTTAATTTTGCCAACACTTCAGTATGATTCCCTATATAATAGGAAGTTTATAGCTTTATTTCTCTTATAAATCAAGCCGCTCTGAAGTAGAGCACAGCAGTGCATCTTAGAGCAAAGCACAGGCCTCTGGTGTCACTCTCTAGGTGAGAGTTGGTCAGTGCTAGTTTTTCCTCATTTCTCTATCATCATTTCTAAGTTGATCAGCTTTCTCAAAGCAGCTATGGGGCTGTGAGTCATACTTCAGCAAGTAAGTAACCTGCTTTGGTTACTTTCTTCTGTGTTGCTAAATCAGTGTTGGGGATGGTTGTCTTCTGGGCCCTGAACACCATAAGTTAATGGTGTGATGTTTAGGCAATTTACTTAGTTTATTTTTATGCAGTAGTGGCTTCTCAGCTGTATCTGGAATTCAGGTGACCTTCATATGCTCTGAAAGCCTACTGCATCCAGAAATCATGGGATCGATGATCTGTGTGCAGCTGAACTACAGTGCACGTGTACCGCAGAGCGGGATCCGCCCCAGGGGAAGAGGACTCTGTTGCTGTAGCCGGTTCTTTCAGGCCACTCTTGATACTCATCTTTCTATAGGATGAGATAGTGTTTCTTATAGAAAACAGGAGAAACCCTGGCACTTACAGAAAAGGTATTGGCCAAGAATGTGCTACTGATTTCCAAATGGTGTCTGACTCACAGCTGGCTCCCTGGAAGTGGGCAGCTGACTGGATGGGGGTTTTGTGCTTAATTGGTTTCTGGCCATTGTTTGAAAACAACTCTTCAAACACCTAAATAAATATATTTTTCGTATTTTAGCCTACAAAATCATTAATTGAATAAGTAAATATATATATATGTATAAATGTGTTAAGTAATTATATTAGTGGTGCTAGGCAATGGAATTTAACAGTAAAGGGAAGAAGTAAACCTTTGATTTCTCTGACTGAATTTTGTGTTCATTTAAATTTTCCTTTAGGTACACTCATTCCATTTCTCAATCTCTTTTTTTCATCTGAGCTAGGTAACGAAATCATATGATCAGAAAACTGCAAAAAATAGCTTTGTGTGTCCTCATGATACCCACCTATTTCTATCTTAGAGTGAAAGGAAAAAAATTAGTTTTAGTCTTTTTCCTATTAAAATAGTAACAGCAAACACGAAGCTTAAAGGAATTGTCTGGATTGTCAAATACAAACTAAGCAGGAGATGTATATTATTGACAAACATATTTTCATTTTTTGCCTTCTGTACTGAAATATATATCCTGAGGCACATGAACAAGTAATCTTCCATTACATTACACAGTATTGCTGTTTACAATAGAAATATACAGAATGAGTTTCACCAAAATTGTGGATTACTCTGAAGTGAAACTGTTAGAGTAAGTTACATGTGGTGCTAGAATGTGCTCTGGTTACATGCTGAACAAGACCAGTGTGGGACATACCAAAACCAATTGCTGTTATAAAAAGTCCCACAGCTGGTTCAGTGGGATGGATCTTACTCTGCAGTGTGCACTGTGATGCTGCTTGGTAGCAATAGGTGATGTTTCTGGTTTGCTCACCTATTGGTTTTTATCTCTGCATTTTATTGTAGACCGTATGAGTGTAAAATTGCTTTCTATGACTCACTCTGAGTAAAAACAGAATACACATTCGGATTTGTGCCTAAAAATTCATTTTTAATTTTGTGTCTTGAAAACAGTGTTACCGTACATGGGAACATTTAGAAAGTATATGATGGATATAATTGGATTTCATTGCAATGACTGTGTGAATGATACCATGTAAAGTAAAAACTACATTATATTTCATGGTTCTGATTTCAATCAGTGTTTTTCAAAATTACAGTATTTTGCAACAATGTTGTTTCATCTGTCTTCTGCATGACAAATAAGTGCTAGGAAATCTAACCCTTTGAAAAATTTCCCTCATGTTAAGAGTCTCTTTCTTATTTTCCGTTTCATAAATTTTTCCAAACCTTCAGCAGCTAAGTCTAACTAAATAGGCATATGTATGGGGGGGGGGGTGGTATTGGCAAGGGTCAAAGTATGTTTCATTTCAACTTGGAGTTTTCATCGAGAGTGTTGTAGATGATCACTGCAGTTCCAATGTCATCACTTACACAGGCAGACGTGCACTCAGTAAATGCACTGTCTGGCAGAACTGTTCTGGGTTTCTAAGCCATCTCTGATATCCAAACAGAGTTGACCTTAGTGCACTGTCTTAATAATTTTGTAGGCTTCTCTGATATGCACGTGATTGTATGTAGCTCAAGGAAGCAGGCCAAGTGTCACACACAATTGCCATGTCTCAGGAATACTGTTGATTACTGGATTGTGTTAGTGAGGGAGTCTCTCCACAGCAGGAAATGATGCTGTCAGAGATCTCATTGTGATTCCTGAAATAGCTAAATTAAGGCTTGGATGAGAGACATCAAGATGCTGTTAAGCACTTCTGATGTTGGTGATAGTGATCCTTTAAGATGGTACCCTTCTGTCCCATTTTGAAGGCATTGTCAGATAGTTGACATGTAAAATTACTTCTGGCTTTAAAAATGGCACTGAATTTTTCTGTAGCATTGAAATGTTAAGCCTGGTACTTCAGCTTTATACTAACTTGATGAAATTACTTTGATTTTAATTAAGATAAATTCCTATTTAGCACCTCTGCAGCACTTGAATTAAGTGCAGATACATTCCATTTCTTGTCCTGGAGAAATGATACTTTGCATTTCTTTTGTACTTTCAATTTGATACTATAATCTTAATCTTTTATCAAACAGTTCAGTATCTAGTGCTGCTGGCAAGATAAGAGGGGAATTGATGCTCTTGAACTTCTAAATATCCATGAATAATAGAGTCATTCAAGCTGAAAGGAACCATAGGGACCCAGCTTTAAGCCGGGACAACACTGAATTTGGACCATGTTGTTTGTCCAGTTAAACTTTGAAAACTCCCAAGGACAGAGATTCTGCAACTTCTCAGGGCCTCTTTCCTAGTTTAATTTGTTGGTTTATCTCTAGCTGGAACCTCCCTTGTGTCTGTGACCATTGGCTCTTGTTGTTCTGCCATGTATTTCAGTAGAGCCTGGCTCCATCCTCTTGGTTATCTCCTTGCAGGTATTGGAGGGTTGCTGGTAGGTCCCCCAGAAATCTTCTGTTCTCCAGGCTGAACAAGGCCTGTGCCCTCAGCCTGTCCTGCAGGTAAATATTCAGTGCCTGACCATCTTGGTCACCCTTCTCTAAACACACTCTGTTCTCAAATCTTTCTTGAACCGTGGGGCAGAAAACTGGACACAGAATCCGGATGTAGACTGACAAGTGCTGAATAAAGAGAAATAACCACTCCCCTCACTCAGCAGGAGCCCAGGCAACAGCTACAGTGCAGCAGGCTGGTTTTGCAGCAGGCAGCTTTAGCTCACTGTTCACTGGCACCCACGCATCTGTCCTGGGAGAGCTGCTACCCAGCTGGCCGGCCTCCAGCCTGCACCACTGCAGGGGTTTACTCCCCTCTGCAGGACTTTGCTGATTGCTGTGAGGTCCCTATTTGCCCATTCTTCCCTTTCTAGGTCCCCTCTGAGTGGCCACCCACCTCCTGAAGCGTATTGATAGTATCCCCCAGTTTGGTGTTGTCCACAAATTTAATGAGGGTGCATCCCTCCTCCAGCTTTAATGCTGACTATTGCTTGTAATTCCAAGAAAAACAAAGGGACTTAGGATTTCAAGACCCTGATGGTTCGGCCTTACACTTAAGCATTAGTATCGATTCCAGGCAAGCATGAACTTCAGTGAAGTTGTTCCTGAATATCTCCATACACTGGACACATTCCAAAAGACAGGCCTTTTATTATTATTACATTACCTATTTTTTTTTTTCCTGTTCTGGAATAATTTAGTGCATATAAAAGACTCCAAATTTATTTTTTCAGGTGGTGACAGTTAAGAAATAATTCTTATTTCCTCTTTAGGAATTTGTAAATGGTTAAGAATCATGATGCAGTGAAGAAATATCAACTGTTTTAAGTAGATTTAGGTTGTTTAAATAAATAAAATGGATTTCCTGTTTTTTATTTTACAGTGGATTCCAATCTTGCAAGACTTCAGAAATAAAGACACACTCTGGGGCTTTGTATCACATCCAAATGAGAAACCTTCAACAGAGATTTCATTTCCAATTACACTTCATATTGGAGATTACAATATGGATGGCTACCCAGATGCTCTTGCTATACTAAAGAACACATCTGGAAGGTAGAGTATATGTAAACCTATAAATAAAGACTATCGAGTGCATGTTCAGTCATCAGTCAAACAAATCACTAATTTTAGTGCATCTCATTCATTTTCTCAAGTGAACAAGACTTTTTAGTTCGGCTAAATGTTTCCCTTTTAAAAAGGTATGCATTTACTTGGTATATTCAGAATGCATAGTTGTATAGGCTCAAACTGTGACTCTTGGTGGCGAATTGCACCAGGGCCTGGAATATGAAGTACCACTTTAGGTGCTGCTCCCAGATAAGAGGAGTTGATTATCTCTTCCTTTCCTTTCCCAAACAGTGTTCTGTAAAATCCTGACTTCAGCTTTCAGTGTTGGCTCGTGACACCCGGCTGCCGAGTGTTGGGGAACCGGTTTTGTGCTGTCAGGTGGAGTGGACACTGATTGGTGACTCTGCTGAAAAATGCAATGGTGCCCCTTTTGAGAACCAGGAATTTTAGATACACCTAATAATTTACCAGTGATTTTATACTGTCCAAATTTAACTGAAATAAACAAACTCTTCCCCCTTCCCCCCCCAAAAGAGGCAGCTTCTAACCTTTCCTATTAAATTGGTCAGTGTAATCTTTTTCCTCCTTATATTTTTTAATTAATTACTTGCTTTCCCAATACTTTATATTGCTACCATCTGGTGTTAGGCAGGAGAGGGCATGTAGTGGTGCTTACAGGGAGACTGTTGTACGTTGAGGAGCTGGTGATCCACGTAACAGTGGAGCCGAGCCGGCGCGCGCCCGGGCTGTTGGCACGCACCGCTTGGCTGCGGGATGGGCTTACACGACTGCGCCGAACAGGGAGGCCTGGAGGCAGCTCCCGCTTGGCACCTGATGATGATACCACTGGCATGTCCTTGTCTTTACCTTGAAGTGAAGCAGCATGGTTTCATGTGAACATCCTTTTGCTTGACAGTAGAAATGATGAATAGACTTGTTTACTTCTAAGAAAAACTTCAAAGAGCTCTAGAGACCATAATGCCAGTGAACCTCACACAGGCAGGGTACGCGCAGCATGCCGTGCCCCGACTACAAGTCTGTCTGATGCTGCACAACTTGAGTTTTCCAGCATCTGAAGAGCTGTAAGATTATCTGTGCTGTCTTCTTTTTCTTCCTCATGTCATCGCTTGTAAAAAGTATTTTAATCAATACCTGATGGAGTCTCAACATCCCCTTTACTGGGATTCATGACAAATACTTGCACTAGTACATTACAAGGCAAAATAAGTTTCTTACAGGTGTATTTATTATCTTTCTCTCTGTGGTATTCTGGATGAGCTTTAGTGCAGGTTCATAGCTGGAACTAATACTTAGTAAGGAAGAAAACTGAAGAGCTCACTCTGAAGCTTAAAGCAGTATATAGACAGAATTTAGATGCTGAAGTCAAAGAAGTCAATTCGGATCCTCTAGTGGTTGCCTGAACATGAGTCACCCACTGACTTTTTTGTGTGAGAGTTCCTCAGATACTGACACATACCTAAAAATGACCCGCTTGGAAGAGTTACGTGCTTGTATTCAGCCTACGTGATGTGATTCAGAGACAAGGCAGTGAGCAGCTGAGCTCTGTCTCTCTACCTCTGAACCTTAAAATAACCAGCAGAGCAGCTGGTTTTATTCAGATAAGGCAGAGGAGAAGGAGGTGATGCTGTTACTGCCCAGAACTTGCACAGGCAAAGTTAAAGCACTCGGGCCCTCAATGTCAGGTTTTTTATTTCATGGCTTTGCTCAGTTGGGAGTTTGCATCGTCTGTTCAGCAGTTACTGAATAAAGACTTTAAACAATCTAGAGAGGAGACTAGAACCAGAGTCTTTGCTTTTCCATAGAAATACCATGACATCTAAACTGTAAAGTTGTTCTTGTGTCTGTGTTTTTACTTAAGACGCACTAATCCTGTGTTTTGAGCTGTATAATAGGCTGTCTTCTAGTGTGTAGCCTGATAGCTGGTATACCTAAGAACAACTTAATGAAGATTTATGGCATTCAGAAGTTATTTTATCTTTTAAGTTTCTTAGGAGTCTCTCCTCTGGCTGGTGTGTAATTATGGCAATACAATATTATGTAAAGGAATTAAATAGTTTGTAAGTAGTCCTATAAAATAGCCCAGGTTACCTGTGTCTTGTTGCAATGAATTACTGTGATACACCTCTACCTTTATTCTCCTTGCTTCTGAAATTGTCTGTTTATTCAATTGAGCGTGTCTTAAACTTACTTTGAAACTTGACTTCAAAGTCAAGACTATAGTAAGGCACAAGGACTGAAGGTACTGGCAGATCTTTTGACAAGTTTTTACAAGGGAAGTTCAGAGAGCTGAGGAAGTCTGGCTGAAAGAGAAAGTAAACTAAAAAGTAAGAAATACATTGCATGTTAACACTGTATATTTCCAGTATTTGTAGAAAAGTAATGGAAACAGACTCTTCATACTTTGGGGTGGGAATGAAAGTCACAGTTTTTGCACCCACTATGAAATGTCACTTTCAGAGTAATACTAATACATTGTTTCTGAGAGATTTTAGCAAATATATTCTTTTAAAATGTTTAACTGGGTCACAGTGGAGAGAATTAAAACAGTGTGGGAATTAAATTAAAAGCTCATCTTAAATTAGAGCAAATTAAAATGAAAACCTTATTTAATTTATCCTTATCCACTTCTGGATCAAGCTGTTTATTTCTTTCTCTAAAGCCTTTCATGCTACATCTACAGATCTAATTTCAGTGATTGATTACTGTGATTAAATGATAAAAGCATTTTTGTAAACTCTTGATCTCAATCGGTGCTATAGTCTAGAAAGCCTAGCTTCTAGTTGCTGTCTGTAACTTAAAGAAATTAAAGAGGCAGAAACTATTTTACTCACGTGAAAATATACTGATACAAGATAATGGAAGAATATGATTAAAATCAATTACATGCTTTCATCACAATTCAGGAAAGCACTTTGAGATCAAATCCTGAAAAGTACCTACAAAACACTGAAATAAAGACATGATAGTTAGAAATAACATTGGTTTACTGTCCTTCCAGGTGAGTAAGTCAGGAGAATGATTAATAGCTTCAAGTATTCTCAGAACTGCTATAAGACTACACTGTTTCATCTCCTGCCATATCCTTTTGATTTCATGTAACAGTGTGTAATATTCTGACAGCATGGAGACATTTCCTTAACAGCAACAACACAAAAAAAGGAATCCCACTTGTGGTCACAAGTGGGAGGTGGGGGTTTGAACCCAGAGACTCAATAAATTCCCAGAGATGGAGATGCAAAATTCACAGTCGATTCTTACATACTTACCTGTCCATTATCAATTCTTTTAACTTCTGACTTGAGTCAAAACCTGCACATTAGAATTCCAGTCCACAGATTTTTCTTCAGGCTAGATACATACATGAATTTTTCTTCCCTTCAGTTATGACTATATTAGAAATTGTGTATGCATATGGAATAATAATAGGTAAAGGAATTTTATTACTAGTTATTATTTGGTTCACCTCTACTTCCTGTCTTATAAAAATATATTCATTTTTTTCATATGCTGGTTTTAAGTTGATTCTGGTAACATTGAAAGTGTAAGTTACTGCATGGGAGTCTATAAACACCCATCTTTCTCCCAGTGAATTAGATAAAACAAGTTTTGTTTAACCACTTGTTTCCAAATCAGACACTAATAATTGGCATCTTGCATTGCAAATGTGTAATCTAAGGAAGCATTTTTTCCAGCTATATTCAAAGGGAATGTGTTTCACTGGTAAAATAATGGGAAAGTTGGAAATACAGGATCTCTGTCTGACATCAGTGATAAATAACAGTAAAGACTGAAACTTGGAGACAACAAACTGGATATGGACAGTGGAACAAAAAACTTTGAGTATAATACAGTTCTACGAAGTTTTCCAGGTATTTGTGCTCAGAGGTAGATACTTTGATTCTAGTGAAGCTTCTGTATTAAAGCCCTAAATAACATAAGGTCTCAACTGGCAGCTCGTAGGACAAATCCAGACATCAGGAGTTATTCCAGGAAAGAACTGAACAGCTGAGAAGGCAGCAAACAGCTAGCTTGTAAACAGGGAAAAACCAAACCTCTGTATGCTTCCACTGAAGTGATACGTTTCTATAAATTCCACTTTTTAAAAAAAAAAAAAAAAAACAAAACTTAAAGGACATTTAATATTGCAGTTCATGTTTAAACCTTGTTCTATCCTTCTGATCAACAGTAATAGTTTTCACTTGCTTTAGAATTTCATTATTTTTCTTCGTTACCCCGCAAATTCATAATATTTTTTTTATGGTAAGCAACAAGGCTGACTCTAAAGAATGAAAATAAATCAGATTTTAACCTCATGACTCTCAGTAGTGAATCTAAACCTGTGTGCATGTACTTGCAGGTGTAGTTAACGTTTGCTGTAGCTTAGCATTTATATGTAACTTGTCATGAGTTGTTAATTTTACTAGGCAAGCTTGTATTTGTGTTTCAAAGGGGACTGTGTGGATAGAAATCAGTAGTAGGATGAAATGAAATTTCCTGCTGCCTATTCAGATAAACACTAGTAGACTTGCAGCTATATTCTGATTATGGATTCTCCAGATCTCTGCTGCTCTGCCACAAGGGATGCTATGTCCATGAATTTATTTATTTTTTTCCTCTACAAGCTAGCTCTCCTATAGTGCACTTCTCAGTCTTCAACCTCTGTTTAGTGTTTGGGATTGTTTTTTTTCTTCCTGCTCTTTGTCTTGTGTTTCTCTTGTTGGTACAGAAGGGTGAAGGAAAGTGGCATTTCCCTGCTCAATACCACTTTGATTAATATCTTCCTTTTATCTCACAGTTCAGTTGGTGTTATGTTATTATTTGTCCAGTTTGTGATGTTCTGAAAGTCATTAAATGCACACTACCAAGGAAAGGAAATAAAAAAAAGGTTCGTGTAGGAAATGAACATCTTGTGTCTAGCCATTCACAAGGCTTATAGTTTAGACTTGACCAATACTCTGTATGTAGGGTATAATGCAAGCTTGACAATCTTTTGTCTTTTAAATAGTTATCATCTAATAATTGACGGCAATTTAAAACGTGGATTGAAAGAAATGACCTTTGCAAAAATTCCTCCAAATTTAAAAAAAAAGTGTATGTCACAGTGATGAAAAAGAGAAATTTGAAACAATTTGCTTAGCTGAGGTTGTCACCTTCCCTTATAGCTGGTTAATCAGATATGATACTTAGGTAATACATTAAATGAATGGGAGCACTTAACAATTTCAAGTTACGAATTCAGTTCTCAGATACAGATAATACAATGGCTTAAATATTGCAGATTGCCTTATTTCATTTTGGCTGGACATTACTTCAATGTACTCATGCTTCTAACAGTGAAATAGTAAAACTGGTTTGTTCATATTCAGCTTCAAAGGTAAGCACATGGCAGAAAAATAAAGGCCTAATTTGTGTATTTTTTGCAGCAGCTCAAGAAGTGGCATTATAAGGTTTTGAGGGAAGAGTTTAAATACCCCATTTTACTTTTGACGTGTCTTACAGAGAACAAATACGAACCATTGCAGGTTCTGAAATATTAACTTGGCAACAGGCAAGGCAACTTATTCACTTTGTCAGAAATGGTTTTTCTCAGGGTAGATGTTTTGCCCTTCTCTACCGCTTCCTGAAGTGAATGGAGCAGATATATGAATGTTGTGGAATATGATTCTTATGAGTCACAAATTATCTGAAATATACCATAGAAACAAAGCTTTCCTAGGGAGAAACACTTGTGTCTGTGCATGTCTGTGACTGCATCCTGGAGGCACTGGATGCCGTTAAGATACAGAATAACACCTTGCTGGCACCCTCTGAAGCAGCAGTATGGTCAGGGTCATAAAGAAGGCGTGGGTTTGGTTACTGCCCTGGGCTCCGGCACACTTAGCTAGCTTGACAGAACGTTGTCTGCTCCGCCTCCTGGCTCTGCCCTTGGAAAATGAGAAGGAAACTTCATGTGTTCCCATTGCTGAGGCAGTGATGGATTCTGGCGAGCTCCCGGGATACGGACCTGCCAAAGAATCGGGCTCCTGGTCAGTAGAGTCTGAAGGTTTTCACGGTTCTGGTGAGAGTGGCAGAGGCAGCGTGTAACGCTGTTAGTCATCAGCACACACGTGTGGACCTCGTGTCTCCCGCTGACCAACAGGCCTGTGTTAGGTAAAGTCTTTGGAAGGGAGATTTTGCTGTACTAGACCTGGTACTCTGGTTGTTTCTTGTTTCAGTATTACAGCCCGTCTTTTTGTCTGTATCTGGTGTATGTCAGCGAATATCCAATTTGGTTTGTCTTGTCCTGTTTTTACTGTGCTTGTAGGTTGGGGTTTGTGTTTTATATTTTGCTTTGAAACAATGAGAAACATAACAACAGAGATTTGGTTCAATCTTAAATTTGTTTAAAATATCATGCAATTTGTAGGAAAACTTATTAATGCAGCTGGGGCAGGAAGAGGTTGTCATAAAATAGTGAAAAAGCACTGACACTTTTAAGTAGTGTTTAAGTTGAAGGACTGTGGAGGGATTAAGGAGAATGGCAGATAAGTGCACTTGTACTTGTTTCAGAATAAAGTAAGAATATGTTCAGACTTTTGAGTGGATGGTTAATGAAGTTATTCCTGCTGATTTGGACCTGTTTATTTAGTGTATTTATTGGTTTAAGTCAGGCATGACATAATGGTTGTAATTCTGTCTGTAAAGTTAACAGAAATGCTCATGGATTTTAAAGTATCCAGTAGCTGCTAGCTTTGGTTTTATTATATTTAATCAGTAGACTTAAATTATTTAATTACAATAATTTTGTAAGGTCTATTATTTCAACTCTTTATAGCAAATAAGTTGGTTTATATATATATGCATGTTTTACAGCAATCAACAAGCATTTTTGCTAGAGAATGTCCCATGCAATAACATAAGCTGCAAGAGTGTACGTCGCATGTTTAAAGTTTTTTGGGAGCTCTCGGATCTGAATCAAATCAAGGATGCAGTGGTAGCAACCTTCTTCGACATATACGAAGATGTAAGTTGACCTGTTCCCCACAGCAAGCAGTGTCTCTCTCTGCATTGCCGTGTCTGTCCGTGTGTCTGTCCACGTGCCACTGGCAGACGGCCCTGGAGCCGCGCGGGGCGTTAGGGCAGGTGGGAGGCAGCGCCCGCCGTCAGCCTGGGCCAGGCTCTGCTCCGGAGACGCTCCCGGGGAGGGGAGCAGGGAGCAGCAGCCCATTGCTGCCCCTCCGTAAGCTCCGGCTGAGCTGCCCTTCAGCGGCCACAGACCCTCTGCGTTGTGCTGGTCAGCGATGGGTGGAGCACTCTGGCCTATATTGCCATAGATTAATAAGATTGAAAAGATACTAAAATTAGTAGCAAAGGTGTAAACTTTGCTGCAAATGCTATTTTTTTTCTTTGTATCCCTAAGGGAATGTGTCTGCTAAATTTAGATGCTATCTAGACTAAATCAGCATTCTAACAGTAATTTTTTTTTTTTCCTCTAGGGAATCTTGGATATCATTGTGCTAAGCAAAGGCTACTCCAATGAGGACTTTGCTATCCATACATTAAAAAATAACTTTGAAGCAGATGCCTATTTTGTTAAAGTTATTGGTAAGTTGTTGCTGTATATTCAAGTCAAAATGGGATGTTGAGAAGCATGTGTATATTTGAGCCTCTGTAGATGACAGCATTACGGTAGCGCTCTGTGTATGGTAATGCTGGAAAAGAAGCAGCACAGCACGGACAATACTAGGGACTGCAGAAACCTGTTGTTGCAGAACCTGAACTTGGATAAGTTGATTTTGTTTCATTCCAATAGGGTTTTTTCTTGTTTTTTATTTTAGTGTATTTATTAAAATTCAAAGTAATTCTGCCCACTATTTTCAACACTTTAGCTGTTTTTAATATCAACGTTGACCACGATGACCTTTAAGTAAGTGTTCATCATCTCTTGAGTGTGTATTGTTTTTACAAGAATGTGTGTCTTATTTGACTCATTAACCAGAGGTAGGCAATATTTTTCCTTTCATCCTGGACCTTTCCTTCTGCATCCTAGCAAAATTCTAAAGACAGATACTAGGTCTTGAAAAACTCACTTCAGCTGGCTTCTGAGGGAAAAACAAGAATTATCAAGTGTTTAAAAATACGATCTGCAGGGAAAAAGCATATGGAATCAAGTTATTCAGCCTAAAAGAGGAATGTAAGGGAAGATCCATGTCTTCAGTGGGTAATGATGCATAACAGTGAGGGAAGTGTGTTCTGTGTGTCCATGCGGGATACAACATAAAGTAACAGACTGCAAAGAGTAAATAGGAAGAATAATTGCCTAAATGACAGATTGTCAAGTACTAACATCAATTCCTGGAGAAACTGCAGTTACCAACATTAGAAGTCCTGACAACTAAATTAAGATATGATGTAGCATACTTAATTGATTTTGATGGAAAAGGTTGGACTAGCTGAACGTACGAGGCCTCTTCTGTGAATCTTTTGTACAATACCCTCACTTACCTCCTCAAATCGCATGTCAATATAAAAATGTCATTAGATCTACACCTACCGATCATTCAACTTAGATTTATTTTTTTTAATGTGTAATGCTATTTAAAATTTGGAGGAAGATTAGCTCATAAATCAGTAATTTGAGGAAAAATATAATTGTGCTTGTACATATAGATACGTATGCCATGATGAGACAGAAAGGAACCAGAAGAAATTACAGCAATATTGACTTGAAGGAACATGCTTTCTTTGTCCACAATAACTGCCTTTTTATCTTGCCTGTGTGCAGAAACCTAGGCAAGAAACTATAGCCAAGTGCACTTATTTTCATGCTCTGAGTGGTTGCAGTATTTTCTTTCCAGCAGGGATGTCTGTCTTTTTTGCTGTACCTTTGTTATATCAAGCCTACTTTACTGGAGTTCTTTTTTATATCATCTGGAAAAGATGCAGAATCTAGTGCAAAATGGGCTGGTTTCATTTCAGTGACAACTGGCATGCTGTGTATTTTGCTTATGCTGTGGTCTGTTCTGAGAGCCAGTTTGTTTCCACATGTGAGTCAGTTTGGTGTTTTCAGCCTAAAAGCACCACATGGCACCAAACACATCTTACCATCCAAGTGTGGAGTGGCAATGAACGTGGCAAGGGTGTGTGAATTAATTAGAGGCTTGGTTTAAAAGGCTGGAGTTAGATTATGATATCTGTAATTGAGAGTAATTAGGTTTTCAAATTGAGTGCCCTACCATGTTCTTTGACTGCAAAAGGTGTTGAGCTTTGAGCTCATTGCTTGTCTGTCTGTCTTGATTTTTCGAGAACGAGTGAAAAATGAGGCTGTATGTGAGATTAGGAGGACAAAGCTAAACAGGAGCAACTAGAGGTTCACCTTCAAAAATTGTATTTGCCTTCATGTTATTTAAATGCATTTAATACTTCTAGAGCACACATTCTGCATGCCGTAAGATAAACAGAACTGCAGCTACTACTGGGGGCTGATGTATTTATTACTTGTTCCTCAGCCTGAGCTTTATTCTCATTATAATACCCCTGTAATGATTTGTCATGTTGATGGAAGCCTTCTTTTAAATAATACCATATAGGGGTACTGTAATTCACACAAGCATGCAGAAAATCCTCTAGAAAAATCTTACACTTCACAAAGCCATATTAGAATTATAATTGTGTGATATTTTAATGGTGACATGAGTAATTTGCAACATGTTTTTTGATTCACTCTATGTAAATCTGTCTTGAAAAAAATGGAACAAGGCTTTTTTTAGCACCTTTTTAGGGTGTGAATATTTCTGCATAGAAACCCCAGGAAATGGGAATTAATGAGTGGTCTAAAAATATTTTTACTGACACAGGAGAGAGTATTTCTAACAAAACACGCTTCATGCAAGTTCATGTATCAATAAATGCATTGTGTTCACTTTGATCTCATTTGTCCATATGCCAAATGTTTTTCTCATTATAACTGATGTCAAATGTACTTGATCAGATTATTTGTTCCAGTAGTGAAACTAAACAGCAATTTGCTGGTTTACATCAAAATGGGAAGAGTTGGTTCCACTTGCATATACATCTGTGTCTAACAATAAGGTTATAGCTTAAAAAGTCTATTTGTAGATACATACAGTCTTCAGATTCTCCTTTGCCACACCTTCATTTTAGCTGTCCAGACTTTTTTTTTTTTCAACTGTATAAAAATACTACATATTTTTATATTTGGAACGTTCAACATTTTAAAATTGCAAGCAAAGAATGACAAGTTGGGAATCATGACAGTTGTTAATATTTGGACACAAAATACTATAAATGTTCCTTCGCTAGAACAGTGTCATTTCTGACTCCAGTAGGGAATGATTTCTAATCAGACTGTTACACTATGAACATCTTCTGTACACCTTTTAATATTTCACTGTTCCCAAATATTTTGTACCATAAACTCCATGGAGCCTTAGAGTAGCCAGAAAATGCTTCAAAAAACTGCAAATGGTTAGGATGACCTGCCCTCAGATCTGGTCCAAATCTTAATTTTCGCTGTCTGCCACACTTGCTTTAGGATACCATGATTCCTGGAGAAGTTATGTTTTCACATGGCTTCGATACTGTGGTCTGTGTTCTCTTCCTTGCTCTCAGCCACTATTGGGCTGCTGCTGAACCAAACGGCTGTCATTTGAAGTCTGAGTTTTGCATCAGAATGACACCTTAGATTATTTTGTGTGTGTGTGCGTTGCCTGCTTTAAAGGCATTTTAGTACTAATGTTCTAATACTCAGGGTAACAGGACGTTCTAGGTTATAGAACAGACGGCTTTCATTGTCCATCATTTAGTTGATTATAAAGTGTTTAACAGATATTTCTGTAATATAACTAATTTTTGAAACAAATGGGTTTTAAACAAGTAATTGAAGAACTGTCACGGGCTTTAGATGTGAAGTAGCATTATACACACCTGCTTATAATACTTTTGAGTTTGTAGAATAAATAGGTAATGGGGGTTTTGTTTGTTCCAGATTTTGGGAATTGCTTTAAATCAAGTTGTAAAACTATACCTTGTATAGAAGGAAAGGGCTTTACTTACATTTTTAACAGTTAAAACAGTAAAGCTGAATCTCTGCCAGTATTTTTAAATGGTTAGAAAGGAAGAATAACAAGTAAAATGTCCGGTCCACTATTTTTAAAATGTTTTAATTTGGAATTTTTTTAACTGGCATGTTTCCCCTTTTGGAGCTGATAACCAGTGAGGCATGATAAAACAGTGACTAGCTGATTTATTTCAGCAGAGAAGTATGCTTCAAACAGATTAGGTTTTTCTATACCTTAGCCGAAGTCACATAGAAGACACTTTCTGTGTGTGTTTTAATGGATACCTGACACTACTACTGCACTTGAACAGATTTCAGAGGTAGTGCTGGTAAGATAGCTTGTTAACATAGATGCTACAAGCTCACTTTCTGTTTTTGCAGTTCTCAGTGGCCTCTGTTCTAATGACTGTCCTCGGAAAGTAACAGTAAGTGTAACTATAACTTTGCATTACTATTTAGCTTCAAATAAGCTGAGGTGTAATTATACCAAAACCTCCCCACATATTAAGACAGTTATTGACTGGAAGAATGGGTAATCAAAATCATGACTGGCCAAGCTCTGCCTATTTCAGACCCATTCCCTTCGCCAGCTGCCTGCTCAGAGATGGACTCAATGGCCTGATTCTGCTGTGTGACCCAGCACCCTGGGCTCTGGGCTATCCCAGATACAAGAACAACGTGTGTAATGCAGCTGGCTGCCCAAACTGGAGTGTGCTGAGAGGTGTTGTGGGCGGTCGGAAAGGCTGGGCAAAACCGGCTGTGGGACAGATTCGGCCACGGAGCCGCTTCTGGGCTGAAGTACAGCCAGTGGGGACAAGGAAGGACAGAAGGGAAGGGAGGAAATCTACTTGGTTGTGATGATTCTGCAGGCAGCTACATAGACACGTGCTGATTTGTAACTTGATTATTTTAATCATCTCCAGAGACCCTGCAACTCACCTGCCAAACTTTCAGTTAGCAAATTGTTTAGCAATGTTCACAGTGAAAGTTGCGCTGGAAGAGGAACTCAGAGGAATCAAAGCTGGCGTTAGCTCTTTAGCCCTGCAAAAATAGGAACTGTAATTTGGACTTGAAAATACAAAAACTGCTTCAAATGGGACCAACTTTTTTCCAAGGCTGTTTTAAGACACGGGGTTTAATTTCTGATGTAAAATAATAAGGGGGTTTGATAGTAGCATTAGCTTAAATACAGCGCTAGAGAGAGGGTTTAAAAGCAAACCTTCACAACAGGTATTGGTGAATATTTCATTATGAGGATCACTGAAACACTGTTGCATCCACTGTAATAGAAGTTCTCTGTCAAAGTAACATATAGTACATTATGCCAGAACACAGCTACTTGGTGCAAAAAAAAAAAAAAAAAAGCCAATTTTCACCTTATTTACTCATCTTTCATAGATATGGATTAACATCACCTTTGCAGTCTCCTTACTCTTCCTTCTAATCAATTACTATTTTTCAGGCTTTGATCCCATCTGTCATCATTATCACTTATGGTTTAGAATTTACTATTTTTGGAGGCATGGTGTGAAACGTATCATCTTTTCTTTTAGTGTTCTTTCTGTAACTCATTTGAAAAGTCTTTACTGGATTTGATGCCCTAATATCAACTTGAATTCAGCATATAAAAAAAGAAAATCTTCCTTTAAAAATCTATTCTTGTTGCCGTCCCTCCTCCTCTCCCTTTCCCACCATAGCAGATAGTGGTCCCCCCCTTCTTAGGTGCATCTGTTACAGTTCATCACTCAGTAATCCACAACTCCCTTTTTTAAAAAATTATTTTTCAATTTTAATTTTTTTGCCATAACTGCTCTTTAAGTACATTTTTTTTCCCTCAAGAGAATTTGCTTAAAATAGGTATTGGTACTTGACAAGTAACTATGCAACTGCTTTCATGAATTACATAAAGCACCACTAAATAATGATAACAACATTTTGAATTTGTGTAGTACTTTTCAATTGAGAAAGACCATCAAGATAGTGCATTCTCTCAGACAATATCAAATGAGTTCTGCTTTTTCAGAACATGTAACTATTTCTTTGAATTTTTAGGGTTTTTTATTTTAATTGTAACTTCCAGGGAAATATTAAATCTTTTGCCAGAGGTCTGTATGGTATTGCTTTCTTCATGAGAAACTAAATGTCACTTAGCCAACTGATTAGCCTTATTCTGAAAATTAATTTCCACATAATGCTATGACCAAAACAGTTGCAAGATAATAAAATTACCCATATCAAAAGGAAATCCTTGATCTAGAAACACTTTTCTTTGGTTTGCTGTTTTATTGCTATAGCTTTGTCTGTTCCTAAAATTTTGCCTACTTTTTTTCCTTTTTTCCCCTGGTAGCCTTTTGGTGTTAATCAGCCTGGGCCTTACATCATGTACACTACTGTAGATGCAAATGGATACCTGAAAAATGGGTCAGGTAAGAACCTCATAATGAAAATAGACATGGCGTGGTCTGTCTGTATATACTTCTCAGCAACCTAAAGAGTTGGAAAGGTTTACGAGGCGAAATGGGACTGGTTTTGAATAGTATCTTCAGTTTACAAGGCCAAAACCCCCTAACTTTCTCTTCTTCCTTTACAGGTTGCATATTTTTTACAAACATTGCAACTGCATTCTTTTTTATTCTGTCCCATGCAAATTGGGTGTGAGCAGTTGGCTATATCTTGCCCAGTCTGAAAAATTGTCAGGTACAATATCATCAGTTTGTGAAACACCATAAGCTTCTAATGATTTACTGCTTCTACCAGTTCCTCATCAATTCTCTGTTAAGAAAGCACAGTGGCCTAGAAATACCTAAATAGAATCTTGTAGCCACAGGAAAAAGGATCAACATAATATTCAGTAAACAAGGGATGTATTTTTTTGGAGTTTTTCACTACATCCGGCAGGCTAACAGGCATCTCTAAAATCATGAGTAGCATGAGGAAGATAGAGAGGGAATGGCTGCATCCTTTCATGTAATGAAAGAACTACAAGATATCAAAGAATCACTATGTAACCGTCAAAAACAATGGAAAAAAGCAGTACTTCATGCAACTGGTAGCTTAACTTGAGGTTTAATCATGAGATGTTGCAGGTGCCACAGTTTACATAAGTCCAAAAACAAAGTAGACAAAAAAAAAAACCTCTATTGAGCCATGGTTCAAGCAGTGCCTAATGTTAGAATACCCTGGGGTTTATGCTGTCTTCCTGGGTCTGTACTAGGGGCTCCTAGAAGACACAGGTGACAGTACCAAGTGGTCTATTAGTCTAACCTACCACTGTTATTCTTATGACCATAATGGGCTTGCTTCTTGCTTAGGCAAAAAATCCCAAACTTGGAAGCCAAACCATGATCAGAGTATGCATGTCTGCAAGTTGTGCCATTTCAGCTCCTTCCCAGTAGTGACAGTCATCTGCATCTGTCACTCAAGTCTTATTTGAAATTACACTCAGAATTAAAAAAAAAAAAAAAAAAAGTTTCCCATAATTTAAGGGAAAAAAATGCTGACATGTTAAGGTCCTGAATCAATGATCATGCTCTCACTTTGAATATGATGCTCAGGACTGGTAATTCTACCCTAGAAAAATTAAGGAGAAAGATGTCCTGAAATACAAACCAGACAGCTGCAAAAACATATCCCAATACTCTGCAGCACTTTTGTGTTCATACATACTTAAAGGTATTGAAAGGTATTGTAGGTTTGAAAGCTTGAAGGTATTAGCCCACATTTTAATCAAACTCGTAATGAATGCTAACATGAAAATGCAGAGTATTTTTTCTAATCGTTGCACAAATTCATTTTAACAAACTAATCATCCTACCAGTTGTACGCTCAGCTTCATCACTCTGAAGGTTTTCTTCATAAGCTAAATTTAAAAAGAGCTTACATATTTAGTTAGAAACTCTTAGAACCCCATGATGAGTTCAGAGATCTTTAGTTACGCTACACTCTGTTAGATTACCTGGCCCATGCCCTTAGGCAGCCAGTTCTGGTTTGGTCACAACTGGCATGTCTCATTATTGCCAGTTACCAAGATGAAGGCTTGTGAGCTTTGTCAGAGCCAAGTCACAGTACAGGCTATCTTGGTAACCATGTAAGAAAATACTGGAAAAGGCCTTCACAGGACCCTTCTCCTTATCCTTCAAAAGCCTGTATTTCTGTGGGTGGGAAACTCACTTCAATATGCTGGTGTTTGGGTTATTTGTGGTCCCTATTAACTTTTGAATCCACTAGCTTGCTTAAGCCATTTCTAACTGGAGCATTCATGCCTCAAATAAAACTCTACTAATTCTGTAAAAATCAGCAGTTCTGTAGAAGACAAGATTTCACGTGAGGAAAAGACTTTAGTTAGAGATCAACAGTTATTTGGTCTTGTTTTGTCCTCAGGCTGGCTGTATGGTCAGCATGTGCAGTTGGAGTAAGCCATAACCTGAAATGTTCTTGCCCAAGCAGTAATGATAGGAGCATAGCAGAAGGAAGCTTAGTGTGGTGGGGAGGGTTTATGGGGAAATAGAAGATAAGGCTAAAAGATGTTGCAGGTTCCATGCAGGAAGATGGACTGCTTGTGAAGACATGCAGGTTTCATATTCAAATAAAAACTTATCCTTAGTTGCACAGCTTCTGTCCCGTTTTTGAAGGCATTTTGCCTCATGACAGGTTTCTAGAGATTCCTACTGTGCTATCCATATTACTGTAATCCACACTGGAGTGCCTTTTCTGTTCTGTTCTTCTTGATGACCAAGTATCTTGGGGTTTGTCCTCTTTTCGCTTCTATGTTGCATATTGGCTTTAAAGTTGAGTTTCTGATAGGATACCAGTAAGATCTATAACATTAAGTACAAGCAATTTTGTTGTACCTATTCCTTTTTTAAAAGACATATGAGTACTTGTTTTTTGAAACAACAAAAGTATAAACAGTTTGGAATGTACTTCAATGTCTTAGTAAAGGGTAAAAACTTACTTTCATAAATTTGTGTCATAAAGATTGGAGTTCACTAATCTTTCCTCATGCTGTTACCTAAAATTGCAGTTGCTCAGTGCCCCTCTGTACTCTCAGGGACTATCTGCTTGGATCGTGGACCTGTTGATAAAGCTGCTTCTTGAGAGCTGTGGTCAGAGTTAGGGGAAATTACTAACATTTCTTTCCAGCCTGACAGTAAGTTAGTGGAGTGTATTCACTGGGTGAACACGCATCTAAATAAAGAAATCGCTGGGTTTAAGGTAATGTAATGTATTCCTTCCTTCAGGATCACGGGGACTTAATGCAGGCCTGCCTAAATTTGTGCACCCGTGTGAATATAAACTAACTTGATAAAAACACAGCTTCATAGTTCCTTTGGCCATGTGACTTGTGAATAGATGCCTACACATAATCTTATTATGCGAGAATCAGGAGTACTGATGAGTAACTATTTGCCTAAGAAGTAACAAAAAGACATTTTTTGCATATGAAAGGAAACACATTAGTAAAACCATCAGACTCGCCCTTTTTTTCTTCTTTAGGAAAGTGCTATAAAATCACTATAAATCAAAAAAACTGCAACATAATCCTTGCTTAGCATTGTTCATGTACTCAAAGTTTTTAACTCTCGCTACTTATTTGTAATTAACACAGTTTCAGGCTTAGAAATCTGATATTTTAAGTGAACTCACACAATACACTTAAAAAACGTCTAACAGGTAGCAAAATGTATACTACCAGATTCTTAAAAATATTTTGTATTTGGGATAAATAGTAACTGTAGAGGACTGAAACTTGGTGTATCCGGATGATATATTACATGCTGCATTTTAAAATAAATTTAATTTTTATAAATTGTCATAATTTTAATCAGAAGATGACAAAATAATGACTTTGTGGAATCTCAAGTGCAGAATATCTATGAAGAGGTTAATTCACAGCAGTATAAACTGATTCTAAACCCCACTTTGTGGAAATACTAATTTAGGTGGGTTTGGTTTTGTGTGTCTTTAGCCCTTTGGCCCTTACTGCTTAGTCAAGCTTATAAAATAACCCAGTGACAAAATAAAGATCCTCTTCCAACTATAGACCTCTATGTCATGGAAGAATGCACATAGCTTACAAATTCCTTATATCTGTGGGAATAAAGCTAGCTTAAAATTTGGACCTATTTCATGTATCATTTTCTTAATGGTTTTTCTGGTTCCCTCTTCCAAAAAGAAAAACAAATACGTTTTTCTTAAACATTATCTTTCAGGTTGGTGAGTTTACTTGGTTGGAGATTTTTGTGGGGGAGGTAGGGCGGTGTTTTTAGAAATGCAGTGTTTTTACAATTTACTCTAAGAAACAGCTATCAGATATGATTTAGTACTGCTATAGCACCATTCATCTTCTCTGCTACCATATTTACAATAATAAAAACCTAGCAGAGTCCAATCATGATGAATTTCCTTTTCTGTTTTGGCATTATGAAATAACAGTAATGAATTCCAAGTGCATTTATGACCCTAGCAGTATTGCTACAGGGAATTTTATAATACTGTCTTTGATCAGTTTCTCAACTGTAATATGTTAATAGATTTTTTTTGAGTCTGTATAATTCCTGCAAGAACTTTTCAAAGTCACATTTTTCTGAAGCTATTATATTAAGTTTGTAGCTAAACTTTCTTCTTTTACAAGTCCTACTCATAAAATTCAGTAAATGTTTTTCTAACTAGAATTACTGGCCTACAGGTTATTATCTTGAAAAGCAGTCTGTTACATCAGAATCGTGTTCTATTTTACTATCAAGAAATACCGCAAGCAACACTTCTGTATTTTTATATATGAGTACTGGTGGGCAATACTGAACCCACATGGCGTTTTTGGGCCATATAAAAACTTAGAAAGCATCTTTTCCACATTAAGCTTTTAAAAGTAGGGTATCAATATACTATTTTAAAACTAAATTTCACCAACTTACTTGCATTCCTTATATCATGGAGCAGTCCATATCTGACGCTTTTTATTACATGAAAGCAATAGTGAGAGAATGTGATAGTTTAATCGTATTTTTTTAAATAATTCATCTCTTTCCCAAGAAGTAACATGAGTAAGAACATAGTTCTTTTTCCAACTAAAACAATGTTCATCATTCAGTTATTTTTTTCTCAAGTCAGCTGATGCTGTTTGTTGTCTTAACTCTTCCCCTACTAAGACCAGTAGTAATTGACGGGACCACTGAAACCAAAGTATCCAGTCACCTTAAGTTATCCTTCCAGCCCTGGGCTCAAGTAAATCATACAGTATGCAGTGAAATGTCCACCATTCTGCTTCTGATCTTCCTAATTCTGCAGGTCTTTAGTTCAGAATTATGGTATCTTTCATGTATGCGGTATTCATGCAAAGAATAATAAAAAAAAAAGGCACATATGGCTGTCATTATCTAATTCATTTTAAGGTTCTTTGATCTGCCAAGCCTTAACTACAGGA